AGAAAGAAAGAAAGAAAGAAAGAAAGAAAGAAAGAAAGAAAGAAAGAAAGAAAGAAAGAAAGAGGGAAGGAAAGAAAGATCTACATGATGTTAGAGGTGCTGCTCATGTAAATTAAACAAGGTGAAGTGATTGTGAATGCTTAGAAGAACTTCTGATTGGGTGGATGGTGTGGGGAGGCAGCCTCTCTGCGGAGGTGGCTGAGGACGAACCGTCTGCATGAAGATCTGGAAACAGAACAAGCCAACATGTTTCCTGCCTCATGGCCAAGGAGGAAGGAGAAAAAATGAAGTTGGAGCAGTGGGGCACACCAGGTTTTCCTTTTCAAATGCAACAGGAAGCCATTGGGGGGTTTCACTAGAGAGGAACAGAATTTGACTTACATTTTAGAAGGTCACTCTAGCTGCTGGGTGCAGAGCGGACGGGTGTTGGGTAGCAGGTAAGTTGGGGCCAGAACAGCCTTCAGTTCCAGTTCAGGCCCCACTCGGTCTAATCCTACTTCTTCCAATGGGGCCTGGGCAAGAGCCCACCCCCCAACCCGACTCTGGTAACACTGGCGTGGTTTTTGTTTTCTATTTTCAGGCTCTGGTTCTTGCTCTGTGGCTCAGGCTGAAGCACAGTGGGCTCAAGCAATCCTCCCGCCTCAGCTTTCCAAGTATCTGGGGTCACAAACACGACCCATGGCACCCAGCTAACTTTATTTATTATTTTATTTATTTATTAATTTTTTTTAAAGACGGGGTTTCACCATGTTGGCCAGGTTGGTCTTGAACTCCTGACCTCAGGTGATCCGCCCGCCTCGGCCTCCCAAAGTGCTGGGATTACAAGCGTGAGCCACTGCGCCCGGCCCTTTATTTATTATTTTACTTACTTTTTGTGGAGAACAGGATTTTGCTGTGTTGACCAGGCTGGTCTCAAACTCCTGGGCTCAAGCAATCCTCCAGCCTCACCCTTCCAAAATGCTGGGATTATAGATGTGAGCCACTGCACCTGGCCTAACTTTATTTTTTAAAAGGAAATTATATTATAGCCAAAGGTCATGATTTGATGCACAGGTTACATATGTTTTCTAATCCATATGAACATAAATATGTAACTTTTTTTTTTTGGAGACTGAGTCTCACTCTGTTGCCCAGGCTGGAGTGCAGGGGCATGATCTTGGCTCACTGCAACCTCCACCTCCCAGATTCAAGCAGTTCTCCTGCTTCAGCCTCCGGAGTAGCTGGGATTACAGGTGCACGCAAGCATACCCGGCTAATTTTTGTATTTTTAGTAGACACAGGGTTTTGCCATGTTGACTAGGCTGGTCTCAAACTCCTGACCTCAGATAATCCACCCTCTTTGGCCTCCCAAAGTGCAGGGTTCACAGGCATGAGCTACAGTGCCCAGCCTCCAAAATATGTAACTATTTTGAAAGTTTAAGTGAATGAGTAAATATAGTCTTAATACTAAAGATGAATAGTGAAATTATAAGAATAAAAATTTACAGGAACACATGGGTTTCATACAATATTTTTTTTCTAATACACAGTAAAATAAAATAATATTTTTTTAAAGTTTGCCAAGTACCAGTTTGAATCATCTTATGCAAGTTTGGGGAATAGCGATATGTAAGTTAGGACTTCACACTACATGGGGTCTGGCTATGCTACTTCCTGGCTGTGAGGCTTTGACCTGGCTACTTAACCTCTCTGAGCCTGAACTTCCTCTTCAGTGAAGTGGAGATAATGACCCAACCTCATCAGGATGTTGTGAGAACTAAATGTGTGGGAAGTGTTTAGAATGGTGCTGCACAGAGCACTGGCTCAACACACAATATCTAGTTACACAAAGCAAACAGGCTGCAATTAAATTCCACTAGGCAGCCAGGCACACCGCTGCACTCCAGCCTGGGTGACAGAGTAAGGTTCTGTCTCAAGAAAAAAAAAAAATCCACCAGGCTTTCCTGAGCACCTACTATGTCCTGGACCCTGTAATAAAGACTAAGGGTCCAGAGATAAATAAGAACAGTCTCTGTGCTGACACCATTAATCATCTAACTGGGAAGACAGACAAGCCTCTATGTAATCACAACCCACGGTAAAGGGGGCACAGTAGAAAGATGCTACAAGGGGCACAGGTGGTCCAGAGGAAGGAGGGGTTGCTGCTGCAAATCGGGGCAAAGTCAGGGACAGCTTCAGGAGAAGGTGCTGGTTAATCTGGGTATTGATGGGATGAATAGGCGTTTGCCAGGTAGACAGAGAGGAATCAGAACATTCCAGGTATAGGGAACAGCATATGCAAAGGTATGGAGGCCTCAAGTAGGAAACTGCTAGAGGATAAAGCTCAAGAGGCTGAAGGAGATAACCCCAGGTCCTACCTTTACCTCAAGCTCGGAAGGCACCTAAATCAATGGGGGCTGTAAACCCTCGCCCCTGCCTCCATTTTCTCCTGAGCCTGAGTGGAGATAAAGAAACTGATGATTCTGAGTTCCTAATGAAAGGAACAAAAAAAAAAAAAAAAAAAAAAAAAAAAAAAAAAAAAAAAAAAAAAAAAAAGAAAAAGAAAGAAAAAGAAAACTTAAAAAAAAAAAGGAAAGGAAGAAAGAAACTGATGGTTCAATGAAGAACAGAAAGAACTCAGACTCCAGAGAAGATGGCCATGGCGTGAAACCTCTTACCCTGTGCAAACTGGGTCCATATTTTCCTCACCTGTGACATGGGATTATTCCCAAGATTCGTTGAGAGTTAAACAAGACAATGTGAATAAAGGGCTGGGCACAGACCTGGCTCACATTAGACGCTGAATGCCAGGCTTCCTCATTCTTGTCCCCACCTCCCCACCCCACCCCCACTGCAGTGGGTACTGGGCTGAGCCACCAAGGGAGGGTGGGAAGGAGACACCCAGCAGCCTGCAATGCCCAGCTCAGCAGAAGCCAGACCAGCTAAGCCAGCCCCAGCCTGTGCTTCCCCTGGCCCCACCATGCCACTTTCCACGCCCGGGAGTTCCCAGGTGGGCAGGTCATGGCAAATGAGATGCATACACATTGCTAAGGACAACTGAGTGACCTGTGTGCTTGAGTCTCTGTAAACATGATCCCAACCAAGGACCCCTTTGCTGGATCTTATCACAGCCCATTTTATCCCCCAGTGCACAGACGAGGAGGCCTTGCCCAAGGTCACACAGTCAGGATCAGGATTGAAACTCAGGTAGGGGCTCCAGGATTCCTTCTTTGTCTCCTACACACAGGCACATGTGTCCATGTGGTGTGAGTCCCTCCAAGGGCCCCCCGGCCTGCCTTTCTGGCCCCAGCCCCACTCCCCCATTTCCTCCCTCACTCCCGGCATCCACGTCACAGGGAACCACTTGCAGTCCCTGATGACTCTGCTTGCTTCACACCCTGTGCCTTCTGCGGGCCATCCTCCACACCTGAAATGCTCTTCCTTAACCCTCACTCCCCACTTCACTCCTCTCCCATCTGGCAAACTCCTACTCATCCTTCAGAGCCCAACCCAATTGCCTCCTCCAAGAAGCCTTGCCCAACAGAGTCAGTCTTATCTTCCTCCTTGATCATAGGGTACCTTTAAATCGCAATGACTGAAGAAAGAACAGACTTTCAACTTTGATCCTCTTAGTGTCTACTAATAACTTCTTAATGATCAAATGAGAGAATTCACAAATCAACTACTTTGCTGTTCCATGCTTTAAAGGGCCACAACTGTGTTTATTGATTTTCGTTGTTGAGAGCACAGTGTGGCACGCTCTTGGGGTTGCCATGTGCAACCTCATAGACTGTGCACTGCACAATGCCTTGGGGTGCTGAGCACACAGATGGCGATGTGAATTATACCCTCTGGAGATGGGCAACGTGATGGCCCTGACCCTTGGCCATTCTGGAAATATTTGCAAGACATCAGGTGGTAGAGCAAAAGGGGCACAGGCATTGAATTCAGACTCACTTTGGTTCAAATCCCAGTTTTGCCACTTCCTCACTGTGTGCTCCCAGACAAATGGCTTAACCTCTCTGAGCTTCTGTAGTAAAATGGGAACAGGTAACCCCCTCACAGAGCTTCTGCAAGTGTTATTTAAATCAATAGAAAATGTGGCCACGCACAGTGGCTCACGCCTGTAATCCCAGCACTTTGGGAGGCCGAGGCAAAGTGGATCACCTGAGGTTAGGAGTTCAAGGCCAGCCTGGCCAACATGGTGAAACCCACTCTCTACTAAAAATACAAAAATTAGCCGGGAGTGGTGGCAGGCACCTGTAATCTCAGCTATTTGGGAGGCTGAGGCAGGAGAATCACTTGAACCCAGGAGGCAGAGGTTGCAGTGAGCTGAGATCGCACTACTGCTACCAGTCTGGCAGACAAGATCGAGACTGAGTCTTTAAAAAAAAAAGAAAGAAAGTGTCTAACATGTAGCAGGCCCTTGATAACTGTTCATTCCCCTCCCTGAACATCTGGAATTCCTGTTCCCTCCCCTAACTTCCAGATTGTTTGCGTGTCTAGGATGCAAATGAGATGTCTTAAACCAGGCTCTTCCTAGACTGGCTGCAATACTTTTTTGTCCTCGCTCCTATAAGCTTTGGGACTGGGTCCAGCTCCGACACAAATTAGTAAGGTCCTATTCCTCCAGAAATTTGTCTCACTGGTGCCCTCACATATGTGCATGAGAATGTCCACTGAAGTATTGTGAATAGAAGCCAAAGGCAGGAAACAACCTCCATGCCCATTAGAAGAAGCAGATCAATGAATTACATCCATGCATGCAGTGGATGCCACGTGGTTGTAACAAAGAGGCAGCTCTCTAAGTACTCACAGTAAGTCATCTCCCAGATAACAGAAGAGAAAAAGAGAGGTATGGAACAATTTGTTGAACGGAGCAGCTGGGGGTCAGGGTCTAATCACAGAACAGAGAGAATGACATGAGGGACGAATACTTAGTTTGCCCAAGGATGGCACAGACCTGGTACCATTGGGATGCAGAGGAGAGAAGCTAATTCTTTACACACCATAGATGCCATGGGGCATTGAGACCTGGTTCTATTGTGAAAGCCCACTGAGAAAGCCTGGCCAGATCATCTCTGGAGGGACATGCGAGAAACTGATAACCTCAGTTCCTGGAATAGAGAATGAGGTGACTGGGGGTAGGTGTGGAAAGAAGTCACTTGTCACAGATCAGACCCTTGAGTAGTTTTAAATATTTTGCTATGGATGTGATTTAACCTGTTAAAATGAAAGCAAACCATTTTAAATAAGGATTTTGTAAGGCCCGTATGTATGGAATAATAAAAATAACTTGCTGTTTGACCTTGGTTGGGGCTCAGGGGACTCCATATCCCCATCTTCGAAATGAAAAGACTGTCTCAAGAAGAGATGCAGGCTCCATATCAGAGAGCCATTCCTGAGTCCAGCACCCAGCACTGTGGGCATGGGCAGAACACTGCATTTCGGTGGGGCCGAACCACCGAGGCAGGTTTGTCCTCAGAGACGATGGGACCTAAGCCATCCTGAGCCACTCCAGATTCAAGCACATGCTGTGTGTCCCAGTAACAGAAGCTTGCTGTTTACACGGTTTTCCAGGGAGCAGGATCACAGCAGCCCCTGACTCAAGGGGCCTAATTTTAAAGTTCTGGGCAGACAGAACAAAAAGGCCAGACCCTGGCTACCTACAAGACACATGTACTTTAAAAAAAAAAAAAAAAAAAGTGACCTGGAGGGCAGAGAACAGAAAAGAGAAAACAGTGTCTCCCTCCTTCCTTTCTCCTCCCACAAACTGACTTCTACTGCACGTGTCTGTCCTCCAAGAGCTCAAGGAGCAGGAGTCAGGCAGATATCACTGCCTCGAGGACAGTTCCCATTTTACCCAGAGTCTCAAAACTGCCTGAGCCTAAGAATCCCATTTGGGAGCATCAGTTCAAAGCAGATCCCTAGGCCCCAGTCAGGTGATTCTCAGGGATCTATTTGAATCTTCTGATTATTTCATAATGTTTTTCATTTGTTTGATTGGTGAGTTTGCTTTACAGTTTGTTTAGATCAGAGTCCTAAAGAGATCCAGACATGGTGACTGGTTGACATGTCTCCTAATCTGCTTTACTCTAGAGTTTCCCTCTCCCTGCATTTATTTTCTTGTTTATTTATTGTTTGTCTCCTTTTTTCTTGCATTTTATTTGTAGAAGAGACCAGCTGTTTATCTATAGAATGTCCCATGTCTGAAATTTGCTGACTACAACCCGGTGGTGCCACTTAACATGTTCCTCTGTCCCCTGTGGCCTCCGTAACCTGGTTGAACCTAGGGACTTGCTCAGATTCAGGCTAGAGTTTTGGGCAAGGCAGTTCCATGGGTGGTGCCATGTTCTTCCACCCAGAGGCTCATCCTGCCTGCCTGTGTGTCTCTTTGTGATGTGAGCAGCCACAGTTACCCAATGCCTGGTTCCATTACTCCATGAGGCGTGGAACAATGACTTTCTAGTCTATCATCCCTTCTACATTTTTAAGCAGAAATAGACACTTCCAATCATCAACCATTTGATTACCTGGAGGTGCCGTTTATATAGAAAAGGCAGAATTGATTATTTAAATCCTTTTTGGCACAGTGACTATGCCAAAAAGTTGACTTACAGTGTGAGTGGGCAGATTCCTCTGAGCCTATCTCCACAGGTGTACACGGGACGCACTGGCGATCTCACAGCTTTATCCCGGTATCTGGGGAGAGCTCATTCTCTTAGCAAATGCTGTGTGCACATGCATGCTTTCCAGGGCACCTGGCAAGGTTTCCCAGCCTCTCCCGTGGCCCCAGCCTGAGTCTCAAACCCACTGTTGAAAGATAGCCAATGCCAGTAGGATCTCCCCTAAGAAACGCACAAATTCTAAGCAAGAAACAAATCCAGCTCGCCTCTGTGGCCCTCTCTGAGGATGAGAATGCCAGTGCCTCCCTCCCAGGGCGGCTGTGGGTGCCGAATGAGATCATGCAGAAGGGCCTGACACTTGGGGAAAGCCTGTAAGGGGTCCTCCCTTTTACCCCTCAGGAAGCAGAGAGTTCTAGGGCCCTTGGACTTCAAAGTTCGCGCGCGCGCGCGCGCGCGCACACACACACACACACACACACACACACACACACACCGGGCACCAGTCCCTCCCAGTAGCCCCGTCAGCCGGCCCTATTGTTCGAACACTTTCCCAGCCCGAAGGGGGCCGCTGGGAACGCGAGGAGGCCTCGGCCCTTCCTGCTCCGACGCTGACGCGGCCTGCGGAAGGAACAGCGCGTCTCTCGGGGCCAAACGCATTCCATTCATGCCCCGGCCGGCAGCACGCACGTCCGCACCTCCGCTCCCAGCACAGGCTCGCTGGCGATCCCGGCCCGACCTGCGTAGGGAGGGGAGACTTGGTCGGAGAAGTCAGGGGAGCAGATCCCATCTGAGCTCTCGAACCCTCCTTCCCGGAGCCTTGTGAGGATGGGCCCCTCAGCCCATTCTACGGCTAAGAAAAGTGGAGACCAGAGGCCAGGCTGGGGAGCCCACGCCTGTAATCCCAGCTCTTTGGGAGGCCGAGGCGAGCCTTGAGCCCGGGAGTTCGAAACCAGCTTGGCCAACGTGGCGAAACCTTGTCTCTACAAAAATACCAAAATTAGCCTGTCATGGTGGTGGAGGCCTGTAGTCCCAGCTACTTTGGAAGCTGAGGTGAGAGGTTCACTTGAGCCGGGGACCCTAAGGCTGCAGTGAGCCATGATTGCACAGCTGCACTCCAGCCTGGGGGACAG